AAAAAACTATAAAATTTTCTCTTGGAAATAGTTAGTAATTATAATTAAAAGAATTTCAATTAAAAAAAATATTTAGCTCAAAACCTTTCAAAACAATTCATACGCCCGAAATTTAAACCAATGAAAACTTTAAAAATTGCTATTTATTTGAGAAAACCTACTTTCGAGAACAACTTTAAGAATATTTTGAGGAATGAATGTAAATGTTATTCAGATTATTCAGATATTAAATGTTTTTTCTGTGTGTGTGCGCAATTAACCGAAAACCCGCGCTTCTCAATCACACCTGTTAATTGTACAATCAGCCATCGTGAAGAAGTAGGTGTTAGTGGGCATCAATCAATATGTTTCCATGACATTCCATAAGCAAGTGCCCTTTTTTTCATATTTTACGATCATGACTTCCTACGAGTTTTTTTGTTTTTTTGGGGGTTTTTTTTGTGCACTTTTATAAAAACATTGTGTTTTCCGACATGTACTATGCTGGAAACACTTTAATTGGCATTCACCAAAACTCTTTTATATCTCGAAAAAATTTTCCCGGATTTCGCGCGTGTGATTGAGAAGCGCTGTAATTTGGCTTTAGGGTTTGATATGTCAATTAAAATCCTAAATACTCCTGCAATCCCATTTCTAGGCTAGAAGCACTTGAAAAGCTTTTGAAAAAAATATTCTAATAAACGTCCTTGATTAAAAAATAAAAAAATAACGAATTAGACAAGCCATTCATAGAATTCATACTATTAAAAGAATTTGAAATTGACACGTACCTGTAATACTCTATGAATGAGTCCTTAGGATCTTTATGTAAACTGCACAGCGTTAAGCAGGTTCCTTCTTTAACATTTTGTGAGAACATTTATAAATGATTTACGAAAACCTAATCTTAAGAGAAGGTACGTTTTTATTAGGGTAGGGGGGAGGATGCATAGTCAATTCTTTTAATCGTTGCAGCCCTCCCCCTTACTCCTAAATTCATAAAAAAAGGTTTGTTGCTCCACAAGAGTTTTTACTGACGGCCTTCTTATCTATCGCCCAAGCCCTCCCCCCATTAGAAAACGTACTTTCTCTTATTGAACACCTTCCTAAGACCTTCGGATATCCTACCAGCAAAAGGATAATTAAAAACATTGAATGAAAAAACATTTTCTTCAGTACAACAATTTTGGCTGAAAGAAGAAAAAAACGAAATTGCAAAATAATTTTTTTGAATATCACTTGAAACACTTGAAAGACCATCGGCTATTCGCATGGATATTTATACATATTTATATATATATATATTTTTAATAGTTTTAGCAGTCGGTTGGTCGATCACGGTAGGGATGAGTAATCCATTTGGTTAAATCTGTTTATATGAAAATCAACCCATGGCCAGATGTGTCGGGAGCGACGTCAGGCCGCGGTTCATAGGCCTTATTGTGCTGCACGTACAGATAAACGTTGTTGTAAGGTCTTTTAGAGCAAGGTAAAGAAAACGTTTAAAGTCATGAATATTTTTGAAACCTGTGTTGCCTACGCTGCATATATCGTCCAACTAACCTCAAGTGTACGATATTTATTTATCCTCAATGTGGTTATGAATGGCATTCTGGCTTTGACTGCGACTCTTGGGAATGGACTAATTTTGGTTGCCATCTTGAGATCCCAGAACCTACAAACGCCATCCTACTTACTGATAACAAGTTTATCCTTCGCAGATCTCCTGGTTGGTTTAGTATATCATCCTTTACAAATCGTACTAAACGTCTTTTTCCTGCAGAATAATGTCCACGGTGTGTGTAAGATCTTCAAGACGTTTAATTTTATCTCCATTCTTCTTGGATTACTCTCCTTTATCATGGCAGCTTGCATCAGCATCGACAGATACTTGGCGCTTCGTCTAATGCACAGATACCGAGTTGTTGTCACTAAGAAAAAGGTTGGCTTCATGATTTTATTGGCTTGGAGTCTTGGAATCGGCCTGGCATCTTATTCAACGCAAACAAACCTGTTTTTGTGTTACGGCACGGTGATCTTTTCCATTCTTGTCGTCTTCCTGTTACTGACTTGCTTCTTCTACTTCAAAGCTATGAGAGCACTTCAACTTTACTCCTTGCAAGTTCATGCACAACACCCACCCAACTATGGATTCGATGTTCTGAAATACAAGAAGCTACTCAAGACCATGTTCTTGATATTTGGATGTCTTCTGTTTTGTTTTCTTCCAATACTATGTTCGCATATCGCAAGGCTCAATCTCGATCTTTCTAGAGAGACAATCTTGGTGTATTTCGCAGCGCACGTCACCTTGGCGCTCAATTCAAGTGTTAACCCCGTCATTTATCTAATAGGATTTAAAGAAATACGCCAAGCTTGCAAGAAACTTATTCTGAATTACTGAGACTAGAACCCAATGACGGGTACGTCCGATCCTTCTCATCATGAAGAATGTGTATCATACAATTACATATTGCTCACGATCTATACGAAAAACGAATGGACAGGCATGTTCTTATCATATAAGACACCGGTCACTATTTATCGCCCGGGAGAAGAATATCCCTTGATCCATCGATTGCAAGAACAAAATATCAAGTCACTCTCCTATATATATGTTTTTTTTTTTTGTTTGTTTGTTTTTTGTTTGTTTTTTGTTTGTTTGTTAATATGTTAAACTTTTTTTTTTCCTTTTTCCTTAAACTCCAGAAACCTTGTAATTATTGTTAACTGTGTAATCTCCCACGATGAGCCAAGCTCTTGGAGAGAACTCAGAGAGTTAATATGTTTTAATAATAAAAAAAAGTCACGTTTTTGAAAATCGAAAGTCAAAGACCAGGAGAAGAATATCCCTTATGTTTGAATTTTAAAAAAGTCACGTTTTTGGAAATCGAAAGTCAAAGACCAGGATAGTTGAGAGATCCTCAAGTCGTTTAAGACTAAAAAGGCATCTTGTAGCTTTCTCACCTGGGGCCTGGAAGAATATCCACCATACAATTATTATATATTGCTTAAGATCTATAAGAATGCTGAACAGACCCTCGTTTTCGTCATATGCATTGACCGGTCACTAACTATCGCCACAAGAGGGGAAGATGAGAAATATTCTGGTTTGTATTATTTACGGGGATTCATGTAGTGTGCGCGACCCAAACCAGCCCTGGAAAATGTCAAATCCCCCTCTATCACGAGAATATAATTTCTTTCTCCCATACAATATCTTGGTTATTCTATTTAAGGGACCCGTCATTATTTAACACCTGGGGGGTGTGAGGATTTTTGCATGCTTTCAACTAACTCTGACTGATCCTCCCCAAACATTATATCACTTCTCAGTGATCCCCCCTCATAAGGTCTGGTAATTTTGGTGATTTCCCCTCTTATCAGATAGGTCGACTTTCGACTTAAAAAACCGAGAACAAAGTAGATTGAAGCCAGTAAACAACAAATTTGACATTAAAATTTGTTTTTCATAAACCTAAAATTTGCTATATGATCAATTCTGAATGTTATCAAGATTCTTACAGTTTTATATATTCTTTTGACACRATGAGCCTTTGAAGATTTCTCGACTCAATGTTCCGGAGTGCAATGTTCATCTTTCTTAGAGCTTTGGTTCTCTATGATTATTAATTCTCTCACCAATTGAAATGAGGCGTAAGCTAACACATCTGCTTGGTATATTGCATTAATTTGCCGTTATTTAGACTATCAAGTTCTTTACTCCAATATTCCGCGACTCCATGTGGTATACTAGAACAGACCCGACAGTGTAATCAAATGAACAATGCTTGAGAATAAATATAAAAGAAGACTTGTAGTTTCCTCATTATGAATGAACTGTTACTTTGGTTACTTGTTCTTCAGGTACAAATGTAAGTGTTGCTGCATTACAAATAGTAGTCTCTTCGTCGAGATCAGCGATGACAAGATCATTGCTGTTGTTATCATCATCATCATCACTGTCATCACAACTTGCGTCGGATTCAGATCCACTGTTTTCGTCTTCATCGCTAGACAGTTCATGTGTAGTGTCAGTTGTTTGTTGCCGATAATAATGGCATCGAATTGCTTTCAGTTTGTCAAGCTTTAGCCCAACAGTTGTCAAAGCATGCTCTTTCAGATATAAATCAAGTTGCTTTACTCGAAGCTTTTGAAGCTGATTTCCCTCAATAATTTGAGACCTATATAATTTGTGTCTATCAGTACAGACGCACAAGCAGCCGTTTAACATTGCTTTTATAACATATTTTTGAACAGGTTTGCACGAGCGTGTCTCTGTCCCCGGATATGAACACGGTAGCCAGCCAATCAGCACGCGCGTTATATCTCAAATATTTTATAAAACACAATATAGGTGTGGCAAGTTGAATATTTTCAGTTGTTTTCATAACGTTTTTAGCGCGCGCACTCATCATTAGAAATTTAGAGCGCGCATGAAAATACAAAAAGTATGATGTGGTTTTTTTGTCGTTAATTTAAAACAAAAGTATGACGAAGTTTTCGTCGTTAGTTATTTACTTTGTCAGTTCAGCTGTGTTCAACGTTCATTCAAAGAGAGTCAAGAAAAGTTGTGTTAATTAAGTTAGTTAAAAGACTAGAAATAATCGAAACTGGTAAGTAAAACATTGTTATTATATATTACTTAAGCATAGAAGTCTGTTTCCTTTACGCAAAACTAGAGAATGTAAGAAAAACGATTGATCTCAGGTTTGCCTTAAGCAACCGTTTTCAAGATTGTTTAGTTGTTGTTTCAAATATAAAATTACTTCAATAGTAATGTCTTATAAGTTATATCGTAAGTTGCCAGATAGCCGAAGTCGCTATGTTTGTAATAGGTAATTTAGGATGGTCAAACACCAGTCTAAGCTAATCCTAGTTGCAGTGTATTTAGTGTAAGATTACAGAAATACTTATAGTCATTTGAAAAACAACATCGTAGATGTGTAATTAATCAATWTTTCTATTGATTACYTWTCGTAGTTCTCGCCGTTTCGTTGTGGTAATAAACTGAGTTATAGTAAAGACGAAACTCGTACGTGTTGTTTACTTGGTCACATTTTGGCGTCGCGAGCAGGATACAGAAGTTGTAAAAAGACCAGTAAGTAGACGGAAAAAAAAACAAAAACGGCGAGATCAGTTGGCAGTCAAGACTCTCTAATTTCAAGAATGGCAGAGGTTCAGGAACTGAAAAGTCTCGTAGAAAAACTACAAACCGAACTAGGAAATTTGAGCAAAAACAAAGACGAAGAACAAGTCACTAAACAGTTCGTGGTATATAAGCAAGAACGGAGATTGAAGAAATTYAGTGGTAAGTCATACAACGATGGAAACTATTACCAGAAAGTTGAGGAATTTTTATCTGAAGTCAACGCAATATTTGAAGCAAGGAAAATGACAGCGGGAGAGCAGGTTGAATTCATCGTTTCGCACTTGGACGGACCAGCCCGTGTTTGCCATTTTTATTGCTTTAAAATCAAGGAGAAAATATATAGAAAAGAATGCGCAACGCGTGCAAATGTATGTGATGGGTGGAGCTGTTTAACGATCTATCGAAGTCGTTTAAGAAATGCGACTGAGTAAGTTTTATTTATTCATTTATTTATCTAGTATAACAATTTTATTTGTGAATATAAGATGACAATCATGGCAAAAAGGATGACGAGAGGGAAGAAGTTGATCAACTTTATTTAAAGTCCAAGCTCCTTCATCTAGAGGGTAGACTACCGGGTTAGCTAATCCTATGAAATTAATTCTCTTTAAAAATCACAATTTTGTATCTTTGATAAGCTTCTCCTTGGCTAATGATGTTACATCACCAATGAGTGCTTTCCCATATCTACCGTAAAAAGGGTGAACTTCAACGTATTCTGACGGCTAAACGAATTCGGGGACTCCCATATTTTATTTGCTTATTTTACTTCTAATATGATGTAGATTCATCATGCAGAATTTTTTTCTTCTAAATCTGACGATGGGAACTTTTCCCATGAATTGTATATAACCTAGACAGGTGATATGATAACATGATTGCACCATTAGCCATTCATATAAGGTTGTAAATAACTTGGTGCCAACAAAAAAGACCATTTGATATACAAAAACAACTTTTACATCATATTCATTGGTACATAAAAAACGCATTACCACGATTTTGTTATACAAAGTATAAACGAACGTTTTACTTTCATTTGTTGTAAGCAGGGCAATGCTTCATGAGAGCACTGTAATTCCCAATCTCAAATGCAGTTTTGCCATCCAACACCTCAAGTCCATTAGTCTGAATAGTGTAGTCATCATGGTTGATGGTTGTAAACTGCTTCATGTCCACTTTATGCGATGCTTCCATCTCCCATGTCTTAACCAGGTTTTCTACAACTTCCTCCAATGAACCTTATAAAGTCGAAATAAGAATTTACCAAACTCGCAAACATGTAGTGTTACCGGAAAGACAATAGACTATGGCGTTCCAATCCTGCCAAAAATCAATGACCTATAGAGGTATATTTCTCTTCTAACCCGCAAATTATTTAATGATCCCATGAGAGTAAATAGTTGATTCGTTTGAAATTTGTATCGTATTTTTCGTGATGTTTCTCTGGAACTTCAGTGCAGATTTTATTTTCCTTAAAGTTTTCGTATGACTGTGAAAAGCTCACGGCAAAACGGCATGCGCCAGGCCAATAACACTGCTCAATTTACTCTCAATCCAATCAAATGCCCGGAACACGGAGTGAACATGGCGCGGACACGGTCACGCCAAGATCTAGGCATAGCCAGACCAATCACATTGCGCGAGAGAAAAAAAAGCCAATTAAAGTTCTAAAAATTAAAGTTAAACATCACGACACGGCACGCTAACGGCACTGAGCTTTTCACAGTCATGCGAAAAATTCTACAAGAGGATGTTACACGTAAAATACTTTCTATGTTTTGTCTAGCGACGCACTGCGACTTGCATCAGTAAAACCCAGTAAACTTACTTTTTGTAGCGCGCGAGCTGCAGAGCGTAGCAAGCAGTTGTGAATTGCAACAGGGACACAGGGGGCAGAGGGGGCCACTTATCTTTCATTGTTTACGAAATTGTTTTGTCGCTCCGCCATCTTGTTTTCTATTATTTACCGCTGTACATAATATGAATAAACTTGAGCCCGTCAGATACCGCGCACGCTAGCTGTGCTGTGCCTTAGCTTATTACAGTGGATGATTGCTTGAAAAAATTGAAAGGGGAGAAACTCTAGTCACGTGATTTTTTGAAAACGTAAATAACTCCTTTGATTCTTGCTTTTTCACGATGAATTGCAGACATGCTACGATTTTACTCATTCTTCACATTAGAAAATAATTAAATCGCTTGAATTAATCGTAATTATCCTTCTATTGTGTAACAATTTTCTACGTGGTTTGCTCGTATGTGCGCTGCAGGTCACTGGTGACGGAAGTAAAAATGTTAACGAAAAAGAAGACAAAACGGATGTGACGTATCACTAGATTGAATTGAAAACGAGGCAGAATCGTGACGGAACCTGACAAATATACTACTAAGTGGGGGAGAGGTGGAGGAGATTGTATTGTTTACATTTATTTCGTAGCTGATAGCCAAGTGTCCTAGGGAGTTGCAATTTGTTTCTCATATTCGTTATTCGTTCACAAACTATCTATTTCTATAGATTTCTGCTCCAGGTAAGTTGAAAACGTTTTTATATTTCAAGTTTAAAAACAATTAAACGTGATTTTATAGTATTAAGATTCAGCGATCGCGAGACTGGAGTAATATTTTCAAGTTCACTTTATGTTGTCTAAAAGTGTCGTCGTATCGAGTTGCAATTATTTTCTCATCGTTAGTAGTTCAAAAACCATTTATTCATATATAGTTTTGCTTGAGATGAGTTGAAAAGTTTTCATATAGCAAATAAGCTATGTTAATTGCAAGTTTTCAACAATGAAACGTGATTTGTTTTTCTAAGATTCAACGATCGCTGTCTCGCGTAGTTTAATTGCAAATTCATCAGAAATATTTTGTCCGTAAAGACCGAATTGTAGTCTAGGGGATAAAAGCAAATGCCAACTATTCTAGTTTTTAACAAATGCAAACTAAAAAAAGTCGGAAATGTATGTCATTTATATGCTAAATGTATTTATATCTTGACCAATATGCTTTATTCTTTATGCTCTACAGTTTGTAATTTCCGTTTACTGCAGCACGTACATCTACGACAAAATTCCCAGCAAAATGATATATAAAAAATAAAATGTAAGTAAGCTTGAATAATGACAAAGTCTAGAAATTGTTTCAAATCATATTAACATTGCCACTTATTTCGGTAATTAATTGCGGCTTCATGCTTTCCTTACATTAATCTTTCAGAGCCGTTTTATTTGTTAAATGATTACATATAATACAAATATACATGTCAATGCCCATAAATAAATAATGAAATATAATAGTAATATTTGATATTTTAACGTTATTAAAATATCATATTTTTTCTCTTTCATATATATATAGGTCTCAACATAGTTAATAGAGGGGAATGGTTAGGAAACCTATTGTTATCAGGTCTTTGTTCGCTTTTGATGTTGAACCGGTCTTGACGGTGCACAATTTTTGATTTATGCCCATCTGAAATTGCAAAATAAGTAAACATAAACTTTGTCTATGGGATTGTTGTAAGGAATATTCAAATATCTCTTATAAATCTTTAAGTCTTTTGAACTAGCTGCCAAAAGCAAGATTTTTGTCTGTTCACTCAGCCATTGCCAACAATGGTAAAACAATGGTAAAACAAAGGATTGTGCACGGTCACGCTTGAAAAAAGTGAACAAAGACCTATAACAATAGGTTTCATAACCATTCCCCTCCATTAACTATGGTCTCAAGTTTTGACTGAAGTTCAAGAACAGACAGTTGACCTTATTTTAAGTGGTCACACTGTTTACTTTGGGGGCATTGCTGGGTCTGGTAAGACCCACATTGCAAATTTATGCTTAAAGCGGCTGAAGGAGCAGAATTTTAAAGTGACGTGCACATGCACAACAGGGTTGGCGTGCACCTTGTATAAGGATCTAGATGCAAAGACTTTTCATTCATTCACTGGTATTGGTACTTGCATAGGTACAAAGGAACACCTTCTTGCAAATGTACTTTCTAATGAGTCTGTTGTTAGAAATTGGAGAGTGAAGAAAGAGATGCTTCTCGATGTCTGATAGTATTTTATTCTACAACGATGATAGAGTCCTAAGATACAAATATATAA